TCCTCCTCCTTCTCCCACTGTGCTCTCTTTTTGTAAGTTATGCTTCTTTGGGAAAAGAATCCTACCACCACAAACTCTGGCTGGATGACCTGGGGTCCATAACACATTGACAAAAGCTGCAGATGCTGAGTGGCTTTCTCTTTGGATTTCAGGATTTCCCACAAAAATTCCCTGTCAACATACTGGATGGATGCCCCCTTTTGGATTCTTGCTCATTATTGTTTGTCTAGGAGTGTTGTATCATTCAGTGGCATACTGGCCTTTTTCATCAGGTGTTACACCACTTTCAACAAGTCCTGACCATCTTCTTTCTTTAACTGCTTCCTATCTCTGATGTAGTGACTTGATATCGTGACAAGTTTTAAACTAACTTCCTCACTTCTACCCTCTCATCTGTGAGTATGTCTTTATGCCTCCCTAAGGAGTCCTGAGGTCTACCGTATTCCAAATATGAACTGATCTGTAAGTGAGAATATAAATTTTATAGTGGAACTTACTTTACATTTGACAGAGGATATCTGTATCAGTTAACACTACTCAAGATTATGTAATCAGAAAGAATAAACAATCATGTCTGCCATGGGAACAGGAAAGGAGGTTGTTTCAAGAGCACCCTCCTTGCTAGTACTGACCTTGAGACAAACTGACATTTCCAGCTCTCTGTCATATAAACATCTGTTGAGTAATGTTTTTGTGTAACTCAGTCTTTGGACCTAAGTATAAGACTTCATATCTGCCTCAGTTGAATTTGTTAGTTTATCTCTGTTATTTAAACTATCTTTGAAATTTGACTGTTCTCCAGCATATTAATCATCACTCCTAGCTCTACATAAACTACAGAATTGGAAAGATATATTTTCTGTTTATTCAAATCATTGATAACAATGCTGAACAGATCGTGTTCCTGTAAGAGCATAACAGAAACAACACCAACAGCAAACAATGAAAACAAAAACAATAAAAGCAAATGCATTATTGAGTGCTTTCTTCAACCTGGGAGTTCTTATCTTTACATGGATTTTCTCATGTTTATCTTTATAATAAATCTGCAAATTAAATGCTATTATTAGCAACTGTTATTATCTGTGTTTTATAGATGAACCAACTTTGGCACAGAGGTTAAATTAATGTGGATAATAAACATGATTACCTGCCCAGTAAATGAAAATTCTTTCAGTATCTTGGCATTGCAATGTATCAGAGCTGGGAAAACCACTCAGTCTTGGTTCTGTTGTTTTCAGCCATTTTTTTCCTCCCATTTCTACACGAAGTGTTTTCCCTCTAATAGAGCAGATGGAAGCAAGATGAAGGATAATTATCTTTCTTTCTCCCATCAAATAATATTATGTGCCACATGCCCTGATTCTTGGGGTTATCATTTCCTTGTTTTTCTTCCTGAAACATGGCTACGAACCCTCCTTCCTCTCTTTTTTAGTGTTTTTTCCATGAATCAGTTTATTCTGGGGCTATCACTTTCCTGACATCCTAAGAGCTTGATTTTTCACTTGTGTTCCGTCCCATATTTTAAAGATGTTCATAAAATTCAATCTTATGGGAAGCTCCTTGACCATCTATTTTGGTCTTTGCAATATCTCTCATCTTTTTCCTCCTCTCTTTCCAAAAGTGATCAGAGATCATGGAGTGGAAATTTCACTTTTAAAACTTCACGTCTCTTTTGAGCAACAATTCTTTGACTCTCTTGTGAATTCTTTGGAAACCTTCTTGACAATATCTAATTTACATAGATCTGACTCTCTTTTGTCATTAAAAACTAGTAGGTGAGGCTGGGCACGGTGGCTTATGCCTGTAATCCCAACACTTTGGGAGTCTGAGGTGGGCAGATCACGAGGTCAGGAGATTGAGACCATCCTGGCCAACATGGTAAAACCTAGTCTTTACTAAAAATACAAAAATTAGCTGGGCGTGGTGGTGCATGCCTGTAATCTCAGCTACTCGGGAGGCTGAGGTAGAAGAATCGCTTGATCCAGGGAGTTGGAGGTTGCAGTGAGCCAAGATCGCGCCACTGCACTCCAGCCTGATGACAGAGCAAGACTCCATCTCAAACAAACAAACAAACAAAAAAACTAGTAGGTGAGTTTTTCATCTTCCCAACTTCTTCAGATTTTTGAGTCTGCAACTCCATTTTTCCATCATTAATGTAAAGATCAAAATGAAAAAATCCTTAATTTTTACTTCTATATAGAGAAAGGTGAAAGGTGACTTACATGGTATTTTAGCATAATAACCATTTTAATAATGACTTCAGAAGATTATAATTTAATATATTGCCAATGTTTGTAATCTTCATACTGACTGCTTCTCATTCTACCCTTTATCAAACAGTTTAAATGCTGCGGTTTGATCAATGGAGCTGCTGATTGGGGAAATAATTTTCAACAAGAACCCAAATTATGTAAATGTCTAGATACGCAGAGACCATGCACCAACTATAATGAAAAACAAGTTTACGAAGAGGTGAGAACTAAATCACACTTGATAAAATAAGCAATTCTGTTACTTTCTTTTCACAATTAAAGTCCCTACAAAAAATTAAAATGTATCAAGTACAATGGGAATCATGATATAAAAATCTCAGAAATTTCCCAAATTAAAAAAATCCTTATTTAAAGATAAAAGCAGGTAGACTTCATTGATTCTATGAGTCTGGCATCATTTAAGTCCAATCTTAATAGGTCAAAGAAGCATTCTGCTGCAATGGGAGGCAAAGTACAAACTAACATAAAAGTTTATTTTGTCCTCTCTTTGGTCATCTTAATCATTACTGTCCTTATTTTTTCCTACTTTAACATGACTTCTAGAAAACAATATTTTCACTTTAATTTTCAAAGTCAGAGTTTTTTGTTTTCTAATCAAATTTCCTTTTCTCCAGAAATGAGGTTTCTTCTTTGTCAAAATTTAAAAAAAAGAATTCCAAGTCCTTCCCAATACGTTTAAGGGTTTAGGTTCTCTATGTTATTGACAGCTACCAATTTACCTAGTTATTGCTGCAATTGAGAAGTTACCTTGAACATTTAAAGTCAATTTAAAAAGACAGGTTAATCTTTTATGTGTTGTAGAGGTCATATTTATGTGACTTGTGAATGTCAGTACGTGGGTGTCCTAGTTCTTCTTATTGATCAATTCATCAAATACTTATTGACCACCTTCTATGCACCAAGCCTTCTACCAGTCACTGGAAATTCATTCCTGAACAGAGCACAATGTCTGCACTCATGGAGCTGATGCTTAAATAAGGAAGAGAGAAAGATAATTAGGCAACTTCAATCCGATGGTCTACTACTATTTCATGGATAGAGATGGGCGCAAGGTGTTATGGGACCCCATCTCACTTAGTCTGTGGGGTTCCGGATATGGCTTCATGAAGAACATGACATCTGTCCCTTCGTCAGCTGTTCCTTCTGCTTAGAAAAAATGTGTTCAAAAATTACAATTGATACTAGTATTTCACTTATTTGCTGTTATTCTTCAGTGCCTACTACATGTCAGATGGAACCTTGCTAGGGTTAGACATACCTCTGAATCCTCTAGGAGATTACAATCTAGTTGAGAGGCAGATACATTAAAAGCCACTATAAATTCACAATGAATTAATCTTAATATCTATAATACCCAAATATTATTTTCAATCTAGAATTGTTTTGATTTAGTAACTGCTGCTGAGATTAATTTATACAAGGAAATAGAAAGTATCTCAGGGGAAACTACCCTCTCCTTGACTATTTATCTTTTTCACTGATCTTATCAAAATTAAAGAGGCTCTTCCCTGAAGGGGAATTGCTGTCATTAATACTCAAAGTATGTCACTAAGATTTAAAATAACTCAATAAGTAATCTACCAGACTACAGTGTTATACTGTGTTTTTCCTTGTCACAATAATATTACTACAAAAAGTTTGATTCTTACTTTTTGTATTCTCCCTGCTCCTCTCCTCCTTACCTAATGTTAGTGACATAATATTTACAAGGAAAAGGGGAAAAAATATAATGTAAATGAAGATAGTTTCCACTTAGGATAATGAGGAAATCAGTAAATTCAATTGCAGATTGCTATTTGTCTCCTGTTCAAATTCAACTCAAAGATGTTTTTCCTCAAGACAGATTCTGAAAAACCCCTGGAATTATCCTAAAAAAATTACTAGATAGTTTCTGTAAGTTCACACAATTCCGCTGAATATAGGCTGATAGCTACACCAGTTTTCCAAAAGGAAGGTTGTAAATTCATAAAATACTTCCATCTGCCATGTGTAAGTTGCAAGAAGTCTGGTAAAATGAAAAATATGGAATGGCCATAATTCACATTTCTTTTTTTTCTCTTCCTTTTGCCAAGATAACCTCATTATCTTAGGGGAAGAGGAAGAGAAAAACCCTTGAAACATAATGAATGTGACTCAGTAGATATAATCATTAATCTCATCGTTAACCTAAATGACATAATAATTTCCTTGAATGTTTACCACTTTGGGTTAAAGGTGAATGGAGAAACTCATTACAGTCAGGAATGAAGGGGAAAAGATGACTTAGCCTTCTGGAGAACTTTTATTTTATTTAACAAATAGCAATATTTTGTTGGCCCTTTGCATATATATAACCATCCAAGGGATAATATATTTCAGGGCAGTACAAAAATAACACTATTATATTGTGTGGTCTTATTCCATTTTAAAAATTCTTCCCATAATTTACAATTCTTGAAGTTACTAGGTCTAGTCCAAAATGTTTTAAGCATGAAAATGCATGCTGGATTGTATACATTTCAAAAATGTAGCAGAGAGGCAACTTCCTAAATTCTCTTTTTTATCTAAAGTAATGGCATAATGGTAGACATAGTAAGTTTTTTCTTTTTAAGATAAAAATAGTCCTGATAAATATTAAGGGATTTTGAAAATGTCTTGTTTTTTTCCGGCAGCGGTGACCTCATCAAATCTGTTATCCCCACACTTTCAGAGGCTGAGGTGGGTGGATTGCTTGAGCCCGGGAGTTCAAGACAAGCCTGGGCAACATGGCAAAACCCTGTCTCTACAAAACACAACAAAAATTAGCCAGGCATGGTGGCACATGCCTGCGGTCTGAGCTACTTGGGAGGCTTAGGTGGGAGGATCACTTGAGCCCAGGAAGTCAAGGCTGCAGTGAGCCAAGATCGCGCCTCTGCACTTCAGCTTCAGTGCTGGAGGGAGACCCTGTCTCAAAGAAAAAAAAAAAAAAAATTAAAGAAAATACCTTGTTTTAAAAATGAAAATTTGCAATATTATTAGCTAAAATCTCAACCAGGAACCTTTCTGTTGTAGATTACAAACCTAAAACATCCTTAGTCAAGGTGGTATCAGCTCTAAAATGAATAAAGTTAAGATAAAATTATCATTTATACTTTTATGTTATAAAATGTATAGCTTTATCAACTATAAAATTTATAGTATAAATTATAAAATCTATCACTTGAGGATATGTTGGTGAAAAATCATTTATAATTATTAATCCCTAGATTCATCAATTAGGCAGTCAAGCAAAATTTTGTTCCTCAGTTGCTTTTTAATATATAAACAAACCACAACAGTTACAACCTTTTGGAGCAAGGGTGAAGCAGGGAGTGGAAGGAACAACCCAGTTCCTTGTTGTTAAGTGTGTTTCTTGTTAGCAATGTAAAAAGTCAAACAAAAGAATAAAAATTTTGATTAATATAAGGTCGAATTTTTCTGAGGTAACTTTTAATTTTTTTTTTTTTTTTTTAACAGCCCTGTATTTCTACCATAAGAGACTTATTGGCGAAAAGTTTCATAATAGTTATTGGAATAGCATTTGGACTGGCAGTTATTGAGGTACAGTATAATCTTGTATTATTGACTCTTTATTCTCTTGCTTGTTCATTAATTTTAAGAAATATTGATGGTGAACAAACAAACAAACAAACACAACAGCCATAAGAAAACACAGATGCTTTAGAAAAGCACTGGATGCTGAAGGCTCATTATCTCCCTCAGTCAGCCTGAGTCTAAGGAGGAGATTCCCGTCTTAGGAAGTGAGCAGGGCTGAGACTCTTGCTTTTGAATGACCTCTCTACCGGGAAAAAGAATTAATTTTCGCATAGTTCTTAGTGCCAGGTATCTTTTTCCCACTGAAAACTAGCACAAGGGTTAAAATTTTCCAAAGTTAGAAGAAAAAGCACCAAACAAAGCAAAATACGACCTTTACAATTTCTTATTTCTCATCTTGATTTTGAAACAAAATAAAAACTGAACTCAAGAGTGTGAGAAGCTGTTTTCTTGTTACTTATTATTACATTCTAGAGAAATCCAAGAAGTTCTAAAAAGTAGAGGTAATTACCTCTGATATCCTCAGCTTAAGTACTATTGACTCACTTGGAGAAATTTTCAAGGAAAATTGAGGCTTATATATTACTTTCATCACTTTAATTATTGATGTTGGAAAAATATCCCACATAGGATTTTTGTCTTGATGAATTTTCTTGGCATGTTTTTAAAAAAAACAAACACCTGAAAGACACTTTTCACATGACCTAAATTTGCCAAGAAAATGAATTAAAACTGCTTCAGAGAAGCATTTTGGAATCATCCCAGATCTTGGGTAATTCTGATATCAAGTAGATCAAATTCACTCACAATCCTATTCCAGGACATTAGCAAGAATGTTAATAATATGAAGTATCTCCCTGGTTAATGCCTGTGAGAGCTGGTTAGCTCAGCTGAGTGACTTGTGCTTCATGCTCATGGAATGCTGTGCGAGGTACTCCTTGGGCTTTCTGGTAATTTTCTACCTCTTACTCATGCCACATCACTGCCAGAAAGAAATTTTAACTGAGAATGAAGCAATTTGGTGGCCTACGTGGTTCTTTAGTTTGCTGGTGGAATTTCCCAGGCAACTATTAGAGAACGGTTAGGGACTATTAGCAGCAAATTAAACAGTGGGTTATTACTTTCTTGTCATCCAAATGAATAGGTATAAATATGAAGCATTCTTTGTTGGTAGGTTATGGCTATCTTTCTTTAGGTCTGATATATGTTCAGAGTCAAATGGTGCTATGGATTAGGTCTATTTCTCTTGATTCTGCATTTTGTAAGATGTATTTTGTTTCTCTGCTTTGTATTCTGGATTTATGCTAATTTAGAAATAAGGACTAATGGTCATGAAGATGAGTAAGAAATGAATGATTTAAATGAATCATTAGTGATTTTAAATGAATGATTTAAATGTATGAGACAACATGTTTTAAATGAGATATTTAATATAAGAGTTATATTTCATGTTAAACTCAAGTTCTGACAATTGACTATCACTAGCTCAACTCACAGATGCTCCTCAGTTAGCAAAACCAGAAAAAGTAAGGACATACTTGATTGGGGAGATAGATGAAATACTTTGTGTCATAGTCAAAGGCATTTTCAAGAATTTAAATACATCTAGTGGAAAATAAGATTACAAAAAGATTAATGCATTTCAGTATTTTATGAAATTGGTATATTCCATGTATTAATTACACGTTTAAATATTTTATTGGTTCTTCTAAAGACATATTCAGAGAAAAATAGCTCAATACAAACATTCTATACAGTAATTTATAAGTATGAAGCGTTTGTGGTACTATCATAAAACATAACTGTTTTTGAATTAGACCAAATTAATTGTGATTTCTAGACTATCTGCAGATATGGTAAATAGTTGGTTCAAGTAACTGAACTTTTTAAAATTGTTGTTCAGTTCCTCAATCTAAAACCTATCCTCCCTCTTTTAAAGGGAAACAAATCATTTTATATTCCATCTTCCTTTATTCAAAAAGTAGATTGGAAAAGTCTTCTGATACCCAGTCTATAAATTATGTATCCCAAAAAGAGCATTTTATAGCTCATCTTACAGTCATTAGTACAAGTTTTCTATTGCTCTTTGACTTAGGCCTATCTCCCTTCTTTGTTTCCAAAGTTCAAATTCAAAAAAACACAAAGATACAAAAACAGAAAGTCTCCTCTAAAAAATACTTTTAAGAAAACAGAAGCAAATATCTTCCTGCAGAAAATATGTTCAGAATGTCTCCACAGAAAAATATCATATAAAAAAAGACTGTCCCATATTTAGACCTTATGTTAGTATGTTTAGGCATAGGTTTTAGTGAGATGGGCCAATATTTGTTTCCAAAGCTCTGTTAGAATTATATACCTAAGGGATTCTTCTCACATTGAATGCTAAAAATTATGCAAAATACCTTATTCTGCAAGAAAAATTTATCTATAGACATTTTTGGAATTCTCATTATTCTAGCTTAAAACAACCAGACTATCATATCTTTCCTCATTTGACTATAGCAACTTTACAAGCACAAAAAATGATCAGCACTTTCCTTGCTTTAATAAAAAAAAGAAAAACTACACACTGAGAGCCATCACTTTGTAGGATAGAAGTTATCCCAACAGGAGGTCCTAGAAATAAAGCAGTTAAAAGAAAAATGATAATTTGACATGTTTTTAGACTGCTGCATACCTCTTAGCAAATTTATCATGAGTCTTGGCATACATCATAAAATGACGAATCTCTTTTAATTGTGTGCAATTTTTTTGAACAATGATAAATGTTTTTTTCAGGGACAATGAAATGCAAGAAAGTGTGATATTAACTGTCTAGTCTGCTGATAAATGGTGGGCTTCTATTTCAAGGATGTAGCAGTGAAAGATGATAGTTGTCTTATCCCATTATTTTTTCCCATTAAAAAAAGTTCTTTCTTGATACTTGTCCCACAGACTTAAGGCTCAGCATCAAGGCAAAAAGACTAAATTTCAGTCTTGAATTATAGAATATTTTTAATAGAAATTATTACTTTTGCAGAGAATTGGTGTCAACCATTTTAAGAAAGAAGAAGTATTGGTTAGCAGTTCTCATTTGAATTACATTTCCAGTAAAGTGTTAGTAAGCAGAAAGTCTCAACACAGTAGAAGCATTTAAGTTGACTCAGCATAAATGGCACTTTGCCCTCCTCCGTCCTCCCTTCAAAGGGGGCTGGTGGGGAAGGAAACTTTCTATTGGTAACGCACACAGGTCCTGTCTATCATTTCTACGTCAAAGACATAGCGTGCAAGCCACCAACTGTAGAGCCAATTAGAGCAAATTTTGGGGTCCCTCATTCTTGGGAGAGCTACTTGAGATGGAAATTATGCCCCAGATTTTCAGTTGTGCTTTTTCACTTCAAAAGAAATTCCTGAATTAAGCTATTCCCCATAGTTTAGAAGCTTTTTTTTAAAAAAGAGTTACTTCATTTTTGTATTCCTCTTGAAAATGCCTAAAACTACAGCGGAAAAATTCTAGACTCCTTGATTTGTATGCAGATGATTTAAACCAGATGCTAATAACCTTTTTATGGAAGCAGTACGTATATTTAGCCCCCAAGGACCTGAGATCCCCAGTGCTCCGGAGGAGACGCTCTGCAGAAGAATGTGTGTGTTCCAGGAAAGGGAGTGGGTCTTCTGGTGGCAGCTGCTACTGTGCAGTTATATAGGGCCAGTTAGATAGGGGCTGATTGGCCAGCTAAAAAATGCTGATTAAAACACAAAAAAACCTAGAGAGCGTTTGCAGTGCTCTTCTGTCCCATTGGAACCTCTACTTTTCCAAGAGAGATGACTTAGGTAGGATTGGAACTGTCAGTATACAAAATCTTTTCATATATAATGTTCTTTCTGTTTATTTATAATGTGTCCAGTGTTTTCACTTAAATTCCATGTTAATCCTCTTATTTTGTTCTCTAGATACTGGGTTTGGTGTTTTCTATGGTCCTGTATTGCCAGATCGGGAGCAAATGAATCTGTGGATGTGTCAAGCTATCACCAGTAAAACCCCTTTAAAATGTTACTTTGGCTTTGTAAATTTAAATATGTAAGTGCTATATAAGTCAGGAGCAGCTGTCTTTTTAAAATGTCTCAGCTAGCTAGACCACAGATACCTTCTAGACATATTGAACATATTTAAGGTTTGAGATCCCTTAAATATAAATATAAAAATGATATGAATGTATATTTTTACTCAAAATAAAAGTAATTGTTTACGTTGGTGCTTTTCTATGTCTGATCCTTGTGTTCAGGTGGTACAGTGCTTAAAATGTTCTTCTGGAGCCACCCAGTGGAATAATCATCTCCAAGCTGACAGGGCCACAGATAGTTAAGACAGTGGATCTGGGGTTCTTCAGAAACGATACTCTTTTATGTGATGTATCAACCATTGGTGATACAATTGAATCAAGTCTAATGTTAAAATAATTGGCAATGATCCAGGTAAAAGAGTCACCATCTCTTTTATATTTATGTCACAACTACTAACAGTATCTCTCTTTTGCTGCGTGTCTATTATAGGAACAAAAAGGTCTGAGTGCCCAACACCCAGCCATTGCTTCTCTGGTACCCATCTGGATCTTCCTCTCAGACACGACAGTTATAACATTTTTTTCTTTCTAGTTCTCAGAAATATTTAACATTTTGGCTTTTTAGAGAAGTATAATATACAGACAATAAAGTCGATAATTCTTAATGTATAGCTCTGTGAATATGTGTACATCTGTGTAAGGACTAAGATCAGAGTTGGGCACAGTTGGCTCATGCCTGTAAGCTCAGCTGCCTGGGAAGCTGAGACAGTAGGATCTCTTGACCCCAGGAGTTTGAGACCAGCCTGAAAAATAGCGAGGCCCCCATCTCCAAAAAAAAAAAAAAAAAGAAGAAGATACAGAATATTTCTAGCACACCAGAAGAATGCTCCTTCATGCCGCCTCTCAGCAGTGGGCTGTATTTGGCTCACACCGACTTGCTGAGCAGATTGTACACATATACACAAAAGTTTTGTACACAAAGTTCTTCCCAACTTTGTGTTCAGTAACATGACATTGGTACCTTGAAATCTACCATGCTCGGAGTATTTATGCCATAGATACTGACAAATGCTGTAAATTCAGGGCTTTTCTTTCTTTTCTTTTCTTTTTTTTTGGAGAGCTGGTTGATAAACATTTACCAATACACTGCCCCTCTCTTTAAATACTTCCCTAAAGGTAACCGCTTTTCTGACGTCTGTGACATAGACTCATTTTGCCTGTTCATGAATTTTCTCTAAGTGGAATAATAAAGTGTGCACCCTGGTTTCTTTGGCTCAACATTTTGTGTGTGAGAATCAACCATTTGTTGCATGTAGCTGTAGTTTATTCTAATAGCTATGTAGCATTTCATTGTGTATGAATATATCACAATGTATATATCCATTCTTCTGTTGATGGGTATATAGTTTCTGTTCGGTTTGTCATGATTATAAATAAAGCTTCTATAAACATTCTTTTATATGTCATTTGGAACATGTATGTACTCATTTCTGGCTATATATGCAGGAGTAGAACTGCTTTGCATACATATGTTTAGCTTTAATACATTCTGTCAAGAAATTTTCTAAAGTTCCTTTTTTTTGAGACAGAGTCTCACTCTGTGGCCCAGGCTAGAGTGCAGCGGATATCTCAGCTCACTGCAACCTCCACCTCCCGGGTTCATGCCATTCTCCTGCCTCAGCCTCCCGAGTAGCTGGGACTACAGGCGCCCAGCACCACACCCAGCTAATTTTTCGTGTTTTTTAGTAGAGATGGGGTTTCACCGTGTTAGCCAGGGTGGTCTCGATCTCCTGACCTTGTGATCCTCCTGCCTTGGCCTCCCAAAGTGCTGGGATTACAGGCGTGAGCCACCACGCCTGGCCTTTCTAAAGTTCTTGTGCTAATGTATGCTGATACTAGAAAAGTATAATAGACTCAGTCTCATCTTCTGAGAAAGAGAAATATTATGGAAGGCAGTTCTTGTCAAGCTGATTAGATGGCAGCCAAGCAGTAGGAAACTTGGGGGAGCTTTGGGCTGATACAGAATATTTCTAGCACACCAGAAGAATGCTCCTTCATGCCGCCTCTCAGCAGTGGGCTGTATTTGGCTCACACCGACTTGCTGAGCAGATTGTACACATATACACAAAAGTTTTGTACACAAAGTTCTTCCCAACTTTGTGTTCAGTAACATGACATTGGTACCTTGAAATCTACCATGCTCGGAGTATTTATGCCATAGATACTGACAAATGCTGTAAATTCAGGGCTTTTCTTTCTTTTCT